AACTCTACACAGCTCCCGCGCTACTCTCCATTGGAAATGAATGACTTTCGGTCTGTCATTTGTCGGAGATAGTGGAAAGCCGGCTTGAAACGCAGTGGAAACGTCAGTATGACGAGGATCGTTTTCATTTTAAAACAAAAGCGCACCAGTGTAAATGTAGCCTTACAGCTACGGGGGCTGGGACGCATTCACACTAAATACTCACGTGTGAGCCGACCGGCTGTGCAGACCTATCGGTGTATTAGGCTATAGTAAGATAACACGAGCAGACTGCTCCGTACGTTTTCGCATCGCTCTCACGGATGTCAAACACTGATCGATCTCCGGCTCACTGACGTTGATGAGATTAACCCCTTAGGTATCGAAATTTGGTACCGAACGACGAGACGTTTTTCGATACTCGATAGTATCGAGGCAATTCGGTCGGTGCCTAAAAAGTATCGAACTCGATACCCAGCCCTACCTAGAGACCCCTGAATTCTGCCAGACAGAGGGCATGGACCGGTTTATGTTCATACGCCATGTGAGAACACCTTTGAGTTACAATTTCAAACGATCCCCTACCACTTTCTTTCCCCACTCAAACATCATGTCTGTATATGCAGAGGCGCGTGTGATCTCTCTTCTTAACAAATGATCCAGATACAGATCTATGTCAGACCCTGTCGACGTGACAAACAGCATATTTACAGCCATGGAGAATAAAAGAGGAAAAGATAATTCAGTCAAATTATCACCTCCACCTCGAAGTAGAAATGAGGAAACTCGAGTACTTCCCAGGAATGCCTGGAATGCAAAAGAAAAAGCCACTTTTTTCAGCATGCTGAACTTTGCGAGCTCCGTGTCTACCTTTACAATGAAACATAAAAACAAAGGGGCAGATTTACAAGACGACACAAAGAAACTCACACTTGCGAACATACATACACACGATTCCTTGGCTTATTTTACTGAGGGTTTCATTTCAGAGCATAAACATGTTCTAAATCACGCCCACTCTGACATTTAGAAGAAATAGGTGTGTGTTTTCTGTATTGGAAGTGTGCATAACATCAGGCAGAGGTGAAACCTGCCCAGATGAAAAACACGTGGCTCCCTGAGGTGCAGTAGTACAGAACCGAAATGACTGAAGTATTCCAGACCTGTTCAAACTAAGAGAATATCTCCTTGACAAAATATATAAAGAAAAAATGCCGGAGGTCTGAATATAAAAGTTTTGTACTTCTCAGCATCAATCTTTTTATCTATGATGGAGAAATTCTTAGGCAGATATTATTATAGTTCAAAGACATAAAACAGAGAGGTTGGTTAAGGTGAGCTGTGTATTAAAAGTGATACTTTAATATGAGCGAGTGTCATAATGCAGTAAGAACAGTGTGCATTTGTTCACAGCTTCATGTGCGAGAGCATTTCAAACTTAAAACAGGGCCCGATTATGCCACTTTCATAGTGGCAGTCTATTATTAAACTCACCATTAACTCAGAAGCTCTTATGTTTGATCACAGCTCTGTTTCACTAATGCGGACACTTTACTACTAATTTTCTTTTTCTTTTTTTTTACAGATTGTGCTTATCTTTTCTGTTGTATACATACTGGACTTGAGGGCAGATGAGTTGACTTCGATCTCTCCTCCTTTGATTGGCTGGAAGCAGGTGAGTTCAGATTCGTAGGGTTCTGGGCTGGACTGTCCATTTAGGCTGCTTCTTGTCCCTGTTCCAATCCCGGGACTCATGGCTCCCCTCTGCTGGGCCTCATGTTCCTCGTATACAGCGATCAGCTGTGGGACACACAGCACAACAGTACAATTTAGAGCAGATACAGGTCAGATGCAGTTTATGCACTATATGAGAAATGAAACATTTTAGAATTCTGGCGACACTGCAAAATAGTTCAATATATACCCAATATATTTTACATATAAAGAAATCAAACAATTCACACTGGCCTTCATTACCTTGTGGATCAGGACACTATAGAGGACATCTAAGGAGCCCAGCATGGTTAGTGTGTATTAGTTTGATCTCAGTATGTGATGATTCACTTCACTTTCTGTGTGTAAGGCCTGCCGGCCTCATCAGCACAGTTAAATACATGCATATGTCCCTATTCACAGAGTCACTGACACTGCACTTAGACTTCAGCTGCACTGCTGTTCTAGGCCTCCACACGTGTGCGTCTGTGCACATAGAGCATGTGTGTATGCAGTGAATGAATGCAGTCAGGGACAGAAAGTGGAGTTTGCTGGTAAAACCAGAGGCTTCCTGCCTGAGAGAGGCAGCAGGAGAGTAAACACATAAATAAACAATACACATTGTGACATTCAGGAAAATGTCTGTATGTGACTGTGTGTATATGACTTAAATTACAGAGTGCTATAGCCAGGATCCAAAATATATCTTTCCTGACTATGCAACATTATTGCGCATCATTTTTATTATTCATCTCCATTCTTATGACAATGGGGTTATTTAGCTGGAGAACCAAATCAGCATATTAAAATTATTTCTGAAGGACATGTGACACTGAACTGGAGTAATGGCTGCTGAAAATTCAGAAGCTACATTAAAAAAAATATTCAAAGAGAAAACAGTTATTTTAATTGTAACAATTTTTCCACAATTTTAATGTTAATTATTATTACAATATTAATATTAAATATTAAAAGATTAAAAATAAATTAAAAAAATAATAAAAAGATCTTACACAAGCCTTTGAACAGTAGTGTGTCTCATCATATATATACAGTGGGGCAAATAAGTATTTGATACACTTCTGATTTTTCAAGTTTTCCCACTTACAAAGAATGGAGAGATCTGTAATTTTCATCGTAGGTACACCTCAACTGTGAGAGACAGAATCAAAAAAAAATAAATTAAAATCACATTGTATGATTTTTAAATAATTAATTT